TATATTTATGAAGCCATAGTAACTGGAATTCTCTAAAACTTTTTTGCCTCTCCAGGATCACAATGATATAGATGTATGTTTTATTTTAGAAGTTTTATTGTTTTTGTTTTCATCTTTAGGTCTAGGACCCATCTCAGATTTTCAGTATGTTTTAAGGTAGGGATCAAGGTTATTTTTTTTCCCATATGAATGTCCAACGTGGAAGGGACTTTTTATTTTCCTATTGTATTATGTAGATGTCCGTGTGGAAAATCATATGACTGTATATGCAGGTCTATTTTTGGACTCTTCATGATGTTCAGTTGATCTATTTGTCCATCCTTTCACCAAAATCACACCATCTTGATAACTGTAGTTTTATAATAAGACTTGATCAGGTAGGATACATTTTCCAAACTAGTTCATGTTTTTCAAGATTGCTTTAGATAATCATGGTCTTTTGCCTTTCCAAATAAATTTTAAAATAATATTGTCAATTTCCAGGGGCAAATGACTGCTGGAGTTTGGATAGGGATTGTATTTCGTCTCTAGATCAATTTTCAGCATATTGACATCTTACCAATATTGAATATGAACATGGTATATCTACCCATTTATTTAGTTCTTCAATTTCCTCAGCAATGTTTTTATAGTTTTCTATGCAGAGAATTTACACATTTTTTCATTAAATTTGTCCCTTTAGTGTTCTTTGATGCTAGTGTAAATGGTAACTTAAGGTCATTTTGTGATTTACATTTTTTGTATATAGAAATACAACTGATTTTTTATTTTGACTTGTATCCAATGACTTTGATAAATTCACTTATTAATTTTAGTAGTTTCCTTATAAATTTCTAAGAATTGTCCATGTATACAATCATGCCATCAATAGATAGACATTTTTATATCTTCATTTGTAATTATGTATTATGTTTCTTGTCTGATTTCATTGACTATGACCTCTACTATAAAGTTGAACAGAAGTGGTGAAAACACAACCTCTCTTGTTCCCAGTTATAGAGGAAAGATTTCTATTTTTCAACACTGAATATATATTAGCTCTGAGATTTTTGTAGATGCCCTTAATTAGGCTGAGGAAATGTTCTTCTATTTCTAGTTTGAAGGGAGTTTTTATCATAAATGTTACATTTTGTCAAATACTTTCGCCCACCCATTGAAATGACCATATCATTTTTCTCTCTTAATCTGTTAATGTAGTGAATTACACTAATTGATTTTTGTATGTTAGACTAATCTTGAATTTCTTAGATAAACCAAATCTGATCATAGGGTATTATCCTTTTTACATATTTCTGTATTAAAATTGCTAATATTTGATAAGAATATTTTATGTCTATGATGATGAGGGACATTGGTCTGTGGTTTTCTTTTCTTGTAATGTCCTTAACTTGTTTTAATTCTAGGGTTATGGAGGCTAATAAAATGAGTTGGAATATGTACTCTCCTCCTGCTCTATTTTCTGAAAGAATTGCATATGGTATCACGTCCTCTTTAAATGTTCAGATTCCCCAGTGAAGCCATCTTGGTGTGGAGTTCTCTTTGTGGAAAATTGTTTAATGATGAATTAAATTTTTAAGATGACATAGGGCATTTAAATATTTCTATTTCTTCCTGAATCAATTTTGGTAATTTCAGTCTGTCAAGGAATTCATACTTTTCATCTCAGTTGTCAATTTTATTGGCAAAGGGTTGTTCAAATTATCCCTCATTATCTTTTTTTTTTTTTTTTTAAAGATTTTATTTGTTCATTTTTTTCCCCCCAAAGCCCCAGTAGATAGTTGTATGTCATAGGTTCGCATCCTTCCAGTTGCTGCATGTGGGACCCGGCCTCGGGTTGGACGGAGAAGTGGTGCCTTGGGGCGTGCCCGGGATCCGATCCCGGGCCGCCAGCATCAGAGCGCGCGCACCCAACCGCCAAGCCACGGAGCCGGCCCCCTCATTATCTTTTTAATGGCTTCAGAATCTGTAGTCTTCTTCCCTCTTTCACTCCTTATATTCGTAGCTGGGTTTTCTCTCTTTTTTTAATCAGTCTTGCTAGGTGTTTATCTACTTTATTAATCTTTACAAATAACCAACTTCTGGATTTATTGATTTTTCTTTTTTGTCTGTTTTCTATTTCAACTTTTATTATTATTTTTATCTTTTCTTTTTCTCAACATATCCTGGTTTTAAGTCATTATTTTCTGTATTCTTAAAGTGAAAGCTGAGATCATTGGTTTTAATTCATTCATTTTTTCTAATATAGGATTTTTAAGCTATAAATTTCCTCTTAGGCAGTGCTTTAGCTTCATCCACAAATTTTAATGTTCTGTTTTTCAAAATGTTGTCTAATTTCCTTTGTGGTTTTGTTCTTGACTCATGGGTTATCTGGAAATGTGTTGTTTAATTTTGAAATACTTTGGGGGGAAGTTTCTGGGCTTGTTATTGTAACTTGATTCTAATGTAATTCCATTCTGGCAGAAAATATACTCCATATAATTTCAATCATTGTTTTACAGTACAGTATACGGTCTATCTTGATGAATATTCCATCTGGAATTAAGAATTACATATATACTAATTTCACTGGGTAGAATGAGTGTGCAATAAATGTCAAGGTGGTTATAGTGCTCAAACCTTCCATGTTCTTACTTATTTTTTGGTCTATTCATTCTATCAGTCTATATCTCCCTTTAGGTTTGTAAAATTTTCCCTGCCTGTAATTGGGAACTTTGTTATTGGGTTCTCTTTATCTCTAGTAATACCTTTCATCTTGACTTCTACTTGGTCTGATATTACCATAGTCATTAAAGTTTATTTATGCTTATTATTTCAAACTGTTTCCGTCTTTATGTTTAAAATGTGTTTCTTGTAAATAATCTATACTTTTTTAATCTAGCCTGAAAATCTTTGCTTTTTAATTGAGATGTTCAGTACATTTACATTTATTGTAATTATTGACATAATTGTACTTGTGTTTGATTTCTAGTTTTCCAACTTGTTCTTTATTTCTCTGTTCCTCTTTTCCTGCCTTTGTTTTGGTAGCAGGAATTATATTTTTCTTTTAGCATCCCATTTTAACTCGTCTATTGATTTTTTATTTATGCCTTGTTGTGCTACATTTTAGTGCTGCTTTACATATTACAATATACACCTTTAACCTACCATAGTATATGTTCAAAAGATATTCTATTACTTCAGGAACAATTTAATATATTTTGATAATATATTTCTAATTAATAGCTCTGAATCCTGTATTCTTATGGTCATATATATATTATCTCTACATATACTATAAAAACTCATGCTACTTTGTTATTAATTTTGCTTTAAAAAGCTAACAGTCTGGTGGAACCAAAGGTTGGGAGTAGGTCACCTGAACAGAAAGATCCCAGACCACCAGCAACATTCTGTGGCCTTGTAGCAGCCTGTAAGGAGCACGAGCTCTGCAGAATGAGAAGCCTTTAGCATTCAGCCCTCAAGGTGATGGGATCCAGGACTGACTCCCTTAAAATTAGTAAGCCCCTAGGGTTATGGATTTACCATCAGGGCAAAAAGAGAGAGAAACAGACAGAGAAACTGACTAACTCAGGATGGAAAGGGAAATGTGAGACTGAGGCTTGATTCATTCCATTTTTAATTTATTCCTTTATTCATTTTTTTTCATTTAACACTTATTAATTGAGCCAGACACTGTGTTGGACATTACTGGAGGTTTGGTTGTGAACAACATATGCAAATTTTAAACTTTTATATTTAAAAAAATGTTGGGACCTAATTTTATAAATCAAACTAGTGAATCTGGATAATTTAGTTACAGTCATAATTTTAAAAGAACATTTGAAGGTTTTAATACTTCAAATAATTCTCACAAGAACTTTGTGATCAATACAAGAATTTTTATGAGTATCACTATGTAAATAACTAAACTCAAGGAGTTAATTTCAGTCACTTTCACAAATGATCCAAATTCAGATTCTAGTTAGCACATAATAGTTTTGCAAAATTTCCAAACAAAAGTAATTTTCTATCTACTCCTTTCTCTGTTGAAATTAAAATCAAACATCTCACTCTGTAACAAGCACAAGAAATTGATGTGTACTAACAGCTTTCAAGCTCTCTTGTCTTCCAAGAACAACTGACTTGCTACAGGCTCCTAAACTATTTGCCAAGTTGATACATATATGGCGGTAGCAGAGCACTGTAGAAACCCAATGGCTACTGAGGCAGGGGAAAAAGAGGAGTATTGAAAGAGAAGGGGTACTTACTATAGTGGGAGAGGGAATAAATATAGGGGCTTCGGTCATAAATAATGAGTAGGGCTTCAGGAAAATCATGGGTGAAGGAGTTTTTAAAATTTTGTTAAATGTTTTGAATAGAAATCTCCTTCGTTTCCCCTCTAAAAGATTTAATTTGCTTTTACATACTTTATTAAATGTATGGATGTTGTTGCTTTGAATGTGATACAACGCTGCAACTGGACATGAGAGGCAAGGGACCCACTCCAGGCAGTTGCCATTCTTAAAAGAATATTATACTCCAAAAGGTCTAAATCGATTACACATGCTTGAGAATGTGAGTGAGTGAGTAGATATAGATAAATAAAGCTCAATGTTAATGCTGAAATGAACATGAAATTCATTAGGATTAACAGCCAGAAATATCATATAAAAGTTTGGCTTCATGGGGCTGGCCCAGTGGCGCAAGCGGTTAAGTGCACACACTCCACTGCAGCGGCCCAGGGTTCGCCGGTTCGGATCCCAGGCACGCACCGATGCACCGCTTGTCAGGCCATGCTGTGGCAGGCGTCCCATATAAAGTAGAGGAAGATGGGCATGGATGTTAGCCCAGGGCCAGTCTTCCTCAGCAAAAAGAGGAGGATTGGCAGATGTTAGCTCAGGGCCAATCTTCCTCACACAAAAAAATGAAAAAGTTTGGCTTCAATTCTTACCTTTTCTTTATTTTGTTAATAACATAGACTTACATACATTAAGTAACATTTGAATGACAAACTTCCTTACATGATTTGGATTCTGGTGATGGTGGAGAAATATTAGACACAGCAAGGTCACTTTTTGACTTTTTAGGCTTCTTTGCATTTAATTGCCAGGGTTTATCATAGCTTCTGAAATCCCTTCTTGTTCCTTTATGATCTGTTAAAAACAAAACAAAACAAAAAATACAGATATATAAACTCAATAATAAGTGATTTCAAGATCAAAAACTAAATCCATGAAGTCATTAGATATACCTGGCAAAAGCTGTAGGATACCACACATCAAAAATAATGCAAATATCCAAAAGTTTTGTTTGCTTAATTTCCTCTGTAAATTTGAGTTTTGAATTTGATATGAATCAGCTTGTATATTAACATTATTAAGATCATGTTAAACTATGAAATTATTTGAAAGGCTTTTTAAGGCATAGATTACCATTACTTAAAAATAACATTCTTTAAATAAATGTCATGGAACAAAGCATTGTATTATGTTGTAAATAAAAACAACTAAATATTTAAGTAAATTTTACTCATCTGATGTTACCTTATGCACTATTTACTATGACACATAAAACTATTGACATTCATTTAAATTTCATCTCTAGTATCACTCATTTTTCCACTTCTCTATTCAAGAAAGATTAATTCAACCAACTTATTTGGAAAGTTATAGTTTCCCTTCAAAGGTGGTCATTGCCATACCAATTTCCAAATTAAATGATCTTTCCAGGAGTTCATCCCTCTTTGACTTTGACTTCTTTGCCAAGCATTTCATATTTTTAGGCAGACCTATCTTTGTGGAATTTTGTCTTCTCTTATTCTCAGGGCATTACATTCTCCTCATTCCTATATCATCTCTCTGACTACTCCCTTTCTGTTTTTCTTTTTTTTTTTTTTTAATGTTTTTTTAATCCACCCCCTCACCAAAGCCCCAGTAGATAGTTGTATGTCATAGCTGCACATCCTTCTAGTTGCTGTATGTGGGATGCGGCCTCAGCATGGCTGGACAAGCGGTGCGTCGGTGTGCACCCGGGATCCAAACCAGGCCGCCAGCAGCGGAGCGCGCGCACTTAACCGCTAAGCCATGGGGCTGGCCCGTCCCTTTCTGTTTTATTCACTGCTTTCTCACTTTCCTCTTTCATCTATGTCATATTCCTAAGAGTTTACTTTTGCCATTTTGTTTAAATTTACAAGTTGTCAAATCATCCTAGCTTTATGGATGCCGTATAAATCTTTCTCTGACCACTCACGTATAAATACCAAATAGAAATCATGGAACATTATATGGATTACCAAATTTTCATGTTGGTGTTGTACTTAACTAGCTGTTACCCAATTTTCCCACTTCCAACATGCCATTCAATACCAAAAGAGGCATAAAAATTCTAAAACACTAGGAACCGAAATATTGGTCTGTGGTCTGCCAGAACCAAGGAGGTTACTTCCATAGATAGGATTAAGACAAAAGGTAGGCAAATCAGAAAGAGCCTGGAAGATTTCTAAGCATCCACAAGGCTTGCTCCTACATCAGCACCACCTATTTCTGCTGTTGCACAATCTATCAGAATTTGTATTTGTACCTCCATCCTAGGACCATACTTTATTCTAACGTAAATGACTAAAGGAAGAAAGAATCCTGGTCATAAAACATAGCATCTCATGACACAAAGAAAAACTAAAAGGAGCCAGAGAGGAACGATACATTGGATTTTGTGGCTTTTTTACTTCTCCACTATTGGCACTTATTGGCAACTTAAATAATCTAGCAATGATATTATTCTTACTCAGATGGTTGAAAAAGAGATAAGAGACAGAAATTCACTGATCAGTTTAGCAGAGACCCACAGGACTCAGTTGATACTGGAAATTTTAGTAGCAGCCATAATTTCACCTGTGTCTCTAAAATTTTCGAAAAAGATCCGAGCAATATAGTGAGGGGACAAAGAAGAGTCCACCTATGCTATTTATTGACAAGCCCAAAACTAGGTAGAACACTCCTCATTTAAATTTGAATAAACAGAGAAAAACATTGCTTTAAGGAAAAAAATTGAATATAAAAAACAAGAATAGAGCATTCAAGACATAGAGGAAATACATAGTTTTGGGAAATATTTACTACAAAAAACTTTTAAATTTTAGAATGTGGCTATTTTATCTTCTCAATAAAAATAAAAGAAAATGGACCCTATGAAATAAAAAGAAATGAGAGAGGAAATGAGCTAACCAAACTGAGGTAAAAATATAACTGCAGACAGAAATTTAAAAAGAAAATGAGACAAGGAAATGTTGACAGGAAACTAAAATGCAATACCAACATTTAAATTTGTGTTCAAAGACAGAAAGAGAAAACCAATATTGTAGAAAATTGAATCAGTGGCACAAAGAACACACTTGACAAACCTCTCTAGAAGTCAGTCAATAAAGAAACGTAAATATAATGCAAAATGAAATGAGAGGAATGGAGAACAGTAAAGGAAACTCAATTTACACATAGTTGATGTTCCCGAAGAAGAAATCAAAACAAATAGAAGCAATAACTAAGTACAGAAGAAAACTTCTGGACTGAAGACCTGGGTTTATTGATTGAAAGGATTCATTGAATACAAGGAAAAACAAAAGAAAGGAGACAATCATCTAGATGTATTCCCAGTAAAACTTTTGGATATCAGAAACAAAGAAAAAACAAATCCCGTAAGTATTTAAGAAGAATAATTAGAATATCTAAAAAGGAATAAAAATAAGGCTGCTTTCGGGTTTCTCCTCCACAATATTGAATGACAGACTTTTGAGAAGACGTTGTGCCCCAAATTGCTAGATACACTTAAAGGCAACAAGAGGACATCTTCAGATATTCTCAAAAAGTATGCTACCCGCATACTTTAAATATTGAGTCATTTTCTAGCTAATTAGAACATGCGTCAAAAGAAACAATTCAAAACTGCAATAAAGGTTTTTCAACTGGCATTATTTACTGTCCCTCCAATTATAACTTCTTCAGTTATATTCATATCCAAGAATTATTCTATGCTTTCCTTCTCCCTCCTGTCATACTCTTTCCTCCAAAATCTTTCCTTTTTACCTTCTGGGGCATAAATTGCAGGGAAACAGTCTTCCCACCTCAAATCAACCCTTTTGTGTCTTTTTTTTTTTTCGTTGCAGGGAAAGATTCGCCCTGAGCTAACATCTGTTGCCAATCTTCCTCTCTCTCTCTTTTTTTCTTCCTCCCCAAAGCCCCAGTGCCTGGTTGTATATCCTAGTTGTAACTCCTTCTAGTGCTTCTATGTGAGCCACCACCACAGCATGGCAACTGACAGACGGGTGGTGTGGTTCTCTGACTGGGAAACGAACCCCGGCCACCAAAGTGGGAATGCTGAACTTTAACCACTAGAGCATAAGGGCTGGCTCCCCTCTGTCATGTCTTAAGACACACCTCATTCTTTCCACAAGAGCAACTCCCCGCTCTGCAGCTTCCTGGAATGGAGGGTGTTCATTCCCCCACGTGCCACTGCCCAGGCTGAGTTTTCCTGGGCCATCAATGTTAAGCTGAAAGTCCCTCCTCTCTTGTGGTAAATGCTGCCTGTCTACACTACTCACCACTCTTCATTGTTGCCATCCTTTTGCCCCTGATTACAAGACATTGGCACAGTCTCCCTTGACCATTCAACTTGGATGAAATGGTGGTGACCTCTTAATCCTTAGACAAATCATGAATTAAGCCTCATTCTTCCTTGTCTTCCTCAATTCTGAAGAGCTTCACTTCTCTGATACTTCAGGAACCCCCAAACTAAGGCCACCCACAGGACCTTCTCATCATCTGGAATCATTCCACCGCAAAAGTCTTGATCTCAAACATCGCAATCTCTCCTCCTTCTGTATCTCATATTTTCACTGCACCTGCACTTATACTGGCCTCCTAAAGGTCTTTATCTCTCTGATTTGTTTTCTATGTCTAAACCTTTTCCTACCCTTGCTCACTGCCCTCTCATACCAGACACTGCACTTTGATCACTTGCACAATTTGCTCACAAGTGTCCTCAACTCCTTTGCAAAACTGTTCTTCCAGCCTCCACCCTCACCATGGCATAACCACAATTCTCAATCAGTCCCTCAAACTGATCTCTGCTCCCCTCCCAGTACTTGCGGGCACTGTTAGAGAAAAATCACAATCTTGCTGATGGTTTCCATGATTAATTCATGTCTTCAACTTTAGATAAGCCCCAGAACTGCTTGCTACTCTCTTTTATTTTCCTTTTACCAACTCTTTTTTCCTTTTCCTTGGTCACTTTCCACAACTGGCATCATTCACTTCAATCTCCCCTATCCAATCCTCAACCCTCTTGTCCTCAGCAAACAACTTAATTCTTAACAAACAGACAAAATTTAAGGCATCAGATATAATCTCACACTTGCCTTCTCCCAGTCTATCTATAAATTTGACCACAATTTCTTTCATTCTTTCACTCTCATGCTTTTAGTGATTATGTGGGTGATACTGAATGCCCCACCTGTGACTCCTGCCTGGACCTATCCATGGAGTTTTAGACCTATATCTAACTGCCTGCTGGAATTATCTACTCAGATGTCCCCCAAGAAACTCAAATTCATCAAATGGAATTGGAATTATTATTGTCCTCCATAAATTTAGTCCTGTGTTCCCATCTTGCTTTATTAAACAAGCATTTATGCCATTACCCAAGTCAGTAAACTGGGAGTTATAATAATCTCCTCCCCTCTTTCACCCTCTCCAAGCAATGAATCATTAAGTACTTGTGCTAGTCAGACTTCTAAGATGATCCTCATGACCTCTGTCCCCTGATGTTATGCCCTATATAATTCCCTCCCCTTGAGTGTAGACAGGACCTTTGACTTGCTTTGAACCAATAGAATATGGAAAGGCGATGGAATGTCAATGTCATGATTGTGTTATATTATATGAGACTCTATCTTAGTAGATTTGAATGAGAGAAACTCCCTTGCTGGCTTTAAAGAAGTAAGCTGCCATGATGTGAGACAGCCATGTGACAAGGAACTGTGGATTGCATCTAAAAGCTGAGAGCAGCCCCAGGCTGAAATCCAGCAAGAAAACAGGAACCTCAGTCACACAGCTGCAAGGAAATAATCCTGACAAAAACCTGAATGAGCTTGGAAGCTCATTCTTTCTTATGCCAGCCTCCATATGAGAATGCAACCCAGCCAACACCTTGATTTGCAGTCTTGTGAGATTAATCAGAAGATCTAGTTACACCGTGCATGGACTTCTGACCCACGGAAACTGTGAGATACTAAACGTGTGCTGATTAAAGCTACAAAGTTTAATACAGTACTGTCTCTCCAATACTATAATTTATAAATAATGGCTCATGTGAACTTCAGTAGGCTCACAGATGTTCACCTGGTCTGCCTTCACATCATGGATGCCATCTTTGCACATATAAACCAGAGCCCATGCCTATATACTTACTACTTAAAATCTAAACCCAAGAAAGTGAGGCCAAGAAAAACCAAGAGTTCCTTTTTTGTATGCCAAAATCTCATACCTAGTTTCCTCTATGATGCAGATATCTTCTGTATCTTTTGTATGGAAAACTGACACGAGAGACATCTATATTTTTCAGGGGATACCCTATTCCCTACTCTTTTTAGTGTGGCTTTGAGACATGGTCTCAAGAAGTACCAATATGAGAATACAATAAAAGAAGACCAAAATCCTTTCACGGGATCCTGTAGAGCATGAAGAAGATAAGAGAAGTGAGGGTGTCATTTCAGGAAAGCATTTGGAGTTCTGTCAGAAGATTCCCATGGGAGTCAGGCAAGGAGTTGGCTACTCAAGCAACAGGCATGGGGGGATTTGGATTAAAGTAAATGCCAAACCAACAGAGCAGTGTGTAGAGGAAAAAAGCTATCAGACACACATTCCTTAAGCGAAGATCAAAGTCAAGTCTCCCCACTTATCTCACTAGCGCTTATAGATGAGGCTATTGCAGACTTGGTAAGGCTGGTTCCCCAATGTCCAAAGTAAATGAATCTTCCTAAGGTTGAACTTACCACATAAGATAAAATTGGGGCTGGAGGAAGTAGAGAATTATCATCACTTTGGGCAACAAGAGAGGTAACTTGGTGGAAATCTATTGTTTACTTTTCTATGGATAAGCATTTAATTCAAATTCTTCATAAAAAGAAAAGAAACAGGTAAAGCTTAGAATAGTTTGAATTCATACAGGATGAAATTTTTTCATATAAATCTGAATCTTATTTCTATTAAAATTGAATACAGATTCTCATAGTTTGAAACATAATACATAACAATAAATTCAAATTCAAGAATATCTTATGACAAATTTCAGCCTATGGGTGAAGTCACAGGTGAATACATGAAATCCTAGGTAACTATCTAGATTCATCTTATCGTCAGAAAGACTTGTAAATTTTTACATTAAATGTATCAAAATTAACTATAAAATACACTTTTTCATTTACCTGATGTTTCACTTTCTGCCCACAGAGCTGCAGATCCAGACAAAGTTCTCTGAAGTTGTCCACGGTTTCCTTGTTTAGACTGAAGATGGTCAATGAGAAATGGTATTGGCTGGTCAGGTGTCTCAGTTATTAACTTGGTCATTAATTCCTGCAGGTAGAATAGAGCATACGTTCATATCTAATAATAATAGCGAACACTTACATAGCACTTACTATTGTCAGGAACTGCTCTAATTGCTTTATATACAGCAACTAATTTAATCCTAACAACAACCTTTTCAGGCAAGTACAAGTTATTGTCCTCATTTTTGAGGAAATTGAAGTGCAGAGAAGTAAATCATCTATGTTACACAGCTAATACATGGCAAAGCCAAGATATATTTATTTTTATTATTATACTTGACCAAAAACATACTAGAAATTTAATCTAAATTCTTTCGAAAGATTATAGTCGAAGAACTTTAAACTTCAGATTACTATTTTGAGATGCCACTAGAAACTAAACTTTTGATAAATATACCTAATATAGCAATGTCATTTTTCCTTCTAACCATATCTAAATATCCCAAAATGAAGAAAGTTTTGATGGAATGAAAAAAATTAGTAAAATGTCACAGACCCACAGAAACCAAAAAATGTCTTAAACTGGTCTCCAAACAATACAGAATTTCCTTTTTCCAAAAGCCCTAATGCGTATTGATTCTTTCTTCTTCTTTTTTTTAATGAGTTAAGCAGTGGAGAGTTCTCTACCTGCAGGAGCAGGCTGTTCCATTTTTGGACAGCTCTAATGACACCTTAAATTGGGCAGAAATATGCCTGAGGGTAATATCTACACATTGTTTTTTCCAGTCAGCAACAGCAAAGAGCAAGCTCCAATTTGTGGTCAATTAGAATCCCCAGATTGTTCTCATATGAACAGCTGCCAAGCCACATGGATATCATTTTGTGTTGTGTAACAGGATTTGTGAACTTGCATGCAGCATTTTACAATTCATATCGGTCACATTTCATCTTGTTGGCTTTAGCCCAGAATACTAGTCTGTCAATTGTCATTTTAAGCTTAGATTCTGTGAGAGGCAGTGGTTCTAGTGAGTAGGCTAGAAAACCTAGTGAGTAGGCTAGTATTAGGAGTACTGACGGAGGGGTATTGGAAATTCCCCATCTCATTGTCTTTTTTTGTCGGTGGCCTATTTCCTCTGCCTTGAATGCTGTTCTCTCAGATGTTCAGATGGCTGGCTTGTCATCATTCAGTCTCTGAGGATACCTTCATAAAGAGGCTTACCCTAACCAATCTTCATAAGTCTTTATCACTTCATTGTTTTATTTTCTTCACAGCATTTAGCACTCTCCAGAATCATCACATTTAATATTTGCTTGTCTGTTTACCTGTCTCTCCTCCTCCCCCACCACAGCACTAAGAGCAAAGACTGGCCTGGTTTGATCTCTGCTCTCTTCCTAGAGCCTGGAACTCGACGTAGCTCACAGCTGCTGTTGAACAAATATCTGTTGAATGAGTGAGTGCTTGGTTTATTGATCACAGGTAAATACTAGTAATTAAAGTCCCTTACTGTCCTAATAAACAACAATTAAAGCACTCATAGATTTCTTAGCACAGCAAAATATACTCTTCTGACCTCCTATACAAGAAACTGCTGTCATGATATCTCAGGAACATTTGTTGACATTTAGAGCAGTCTAGGAACACACAAATTTATCTGAGTAGAAGCTAAATGAATTTTGTAGATGATAAGACTCCAAGTTGATCTCAGAGACATGGTTAAGATAATTCAAGGTATCTCAAAAATGCATATATTGATCATAGAGTTGGAACTTAAAAAAGCAAAGGATTTCTACCATAAATACACTGTGAAGCAGAATATTTATCAAATGTAACACTTTTCTATATTCTGAAAAACAGGTATCCTGTTATTTAAAAATCTCAATTATTATGGTTACAACTAAAGAGGTCATTCCTCTATTGTGATAAAGCAATGCTGGGTTCAATTAAACCCCAATTATACATCAGTAGAATGCAATTTAAAATATTTTGAATTTTCCTTCTGTAGAAGAGATATATTACCTTCTATTTAAATTCATTGTACACTACAGAAGCTACAAGAAAATAGAAAAATAAATAGAGGGACCAACTAGATTACTCTTGTCACAGAAGGCCTGTGCACTCAGATAAAGCAAAATTAGGTCAGATAACAGGGCTTTAAAGCCACAGCAATTTCTACCCTGAAACCTCTGAAGATATCATTCACTTTTTGTTTTTAACCTTTCAAATTAGATGGAAAGTTTCTGGGAGTATTCTTTCTTTTAAAATAAACTAAACTGTTCCTATATTGTTTTTAGAAGATGGATCATACAATGATAATAAACCAAGTAATCACTGTTAAATTTTTTTAATACCATCAGCCTAGTAACTAGTACTGGATACCCTTATATTCCATTAACGAATATATGAGGTTAAAGACACAGGACAAATTCAGTCATAAGCGAAATGAAAATACTTAATGTTTGCAATAGGGTATGTTGGGTATCTTGGTTGGGCAAGGGTCTAGTTTTAGATTATTGTATTTATAAGAGGAATTTTCCTGCCTCTTAATCCATGTATCTACTGGCATTACGACCTGAATGATTTTAAGGACTTGAACTCGACAGAAACTTGCTTCCCAGACATAAAAATTTAAATCCTTAGATTCGCAAAGATGCTCCTGGCAATAAAAAGACTGGTTTTTCCCCGCTAGGATTTAGACACACAGAGACAGAACTGAGGGGCTGATGGACGGACAAGATGAGAAACAAGTCGTGCAGCTGGAACGTCAGGTTGGAGAGAGAAATCCGACTGCAGAAAGTTTCATCCGATCATTCACCACAAGGAAAAATGTATTCTAGAATAGCAAGCCAGCGTCAGGGACCGAGGCTGAATACCATCGGGGAATGTTCTGTGCTTACAGAGAGGGAGAGGGGCTCATCTACAATTCCTAACATCAGTGCAAGAGTTGTGACACGAACTGCACTGGGAGCCACAGCCCGACCAAGACGGAGACTCTGTACATAGCCACCTGCTACCTGGGCCACCTGTCGGCCGCGCAGAGCCTCACCCAGGAGAGCGGGCGACGCAGTGATGCTGCGCCCCCTGGCGGCTGCCAGCTCCGCCCCGACGGCAGCCCCGCGCAGGCGCAGAACCGGGCCTGGGCTCAGCCGCCAGTGTTGCGGCGTCCTGGGGGCCCGCGCCCGCCTGCCCTGGAGCCCTAGCGGCGCCCGAACGCCCGGGGGGAAAGGTCCCCGACATGGGACCCTAAGTGACACTTCCTTACTGCCCTGGGATGCAGTCGCCCCCGCAGCTGTCGCGAGGGAAAGCCACTGCCCCAACCCTGTCCCGGGACGCACACATCCCCAGAGCCCCAACCTTCTAACTCTCCATCATGTTAACTCTTTTGTATTAAAGGGCATATGACCCGGATACATATATGAGTGGCTTCTGTTTTCCTGGTCGAACCCTTAATGATCTACCCAAAAGAAGTGTTAGCTAATTTTCATGATTACTATTACTTTTATATATTTATATCATATATTTTTCTATATTTATATGTTTATTACTACTATTATTACCATTTTATCCCATATTTTGTAGCATACATTTGTGATGCTATATATGCAAATTGCATCTTTTTATTGGCTTTATTTTTCTGATTATAAAACTAATAAGTTTATCTTAATATAGTGTATTATCGACTAGTTTTTAACTTCATGAATATACAGACAGAGAGAGACAGCCCTCTGCATTGATATCTGTTTCCTTTTTTGTTAATTATAATTTGTTACTGGTATGAATTAAAATACGTATATTTTTTTAAATATAAATACATATGAAGGTAAAATTTTTAAAAATTTTGAAACACAATCTAGAGAACATAAATCGTTAAGTAATTACTGAGTGCAAATTTGTATTATATAACATGTAAGGACTACTGGAATTTAGGGCTATTATAACCAATAACAGACAACCTTCTACTATTTAGAACACTGGCACAATTAGTGAGCTGGAGAATGGTACCAACTAAATAGTGATGATGATTGTCACAAAATACATTTCAATTTTAATGTCCACTAGATAAAAGCAAAACCATGAGTGAATTGGTAGCTCATCATAGAGTCACTTATTATAAAACTGGAATTAGTAATCAGGCAACAGTAGAAATTATTTTAATAAAAGATCCATTTCATTTGATAAAAGCTATGGAATCCCTTGGTTAAGAAAAAAAATTAAAAAGCACATACGTACACACAAACAGCAAATATTACAGAACGTTTCTGGGTGTTGACCCAACCATGGGCTGACCCTGTAAGGTTTCATTGACTCCAGGTTAAGACCTCTTGCTGTATGCTGAGAGCATACAGACAGCATGGCATTTTGCCTAAAAATTTGTGAGTGGGAGTAAGTTACTTTTTGCCTCATTTCTCTGAGAGGTAAGTAGTACTTGTGTCCTTCCTAACCTCAAGAGAAAGTTATCTGGAAACAACATTAAAGCCCTTTCCAAAATCTCAGGGCTTTGTTATTATATAGTTTTTTTGTTATATCAGTAAATATGCAGGAGACATTACACTCTATTAATAATGGAGGTGGTGTCAATTAGATATATTTTTTACTCAACATCTATAATTATCTTAAATATTAATTGTATATGGCACATAATCATCTGTTAGAATGTCATTTTGGTTCAAAACTGGCATTAAGATCTGATGACTGAATTAATTCATTCTAAATCTGCATATGTTTCAATTTTCTGATTTTAATTAGGTCTTATTAAAAATCTGCATCTGAGATCACAGCCTTCCAAACACCGGCCCCCACCATCACCACCCAACTGTATTTCATAAATGAGCAATGAATTGTCAACAAATAAATGAGAGAATGTCCGCTTGAAATTCAATTGTTCCCCAAACACCGTTTTTTCTTAAAAGGCTTATTTTAAATTGATGTCACCATTCCCAATTCATAGAATCCTCCTTGATTCACCCACACCAGAACCCATGCTTGCCTTCTCTCTCATTCCATTTTCCTGAATGGAAGTAGAATGGGGAAAATTTTTTTCTGCCTCATTACACCCCCAAGCTCTGTTATGAGTTTTAGCTTCGATA